CCCATTGCTCCACCTCGTATTTGATGATAATATTGACCATCATATGAGAAATAATTATTTTTCATAACAAATCGGCTTAAACGAATAATTGTTTCAATTTTAAGACCACCAATTTGTTTCAGTTGTAAATAATCCAACATTTTCTTCAATGATAATACTCCTTCTATTTGTGGTACCATTGTGTACAGACCAGTAACATCAAGAGTACAAAATAATGTATCTTGACGTAGATTAATTTTGGACCATTCTTGTACATATTTACTTAGTTCAAAGCCAGAAGTAACCGTTGTCTTTGAAGCCATTTGATGAAACAGAGGTCGAAGTAATTGATCAAGAAATTTTGAAATTTTAATTGTTGGATGTTTTAGTCCAGATACAATAGGTCGAAGAGGAGTACCAGGTTTATGAGCGTTTGGTAAATAATATAAATGAGCTAGTTCAACTTCATTTGGTTTGATACTCAATTGCTCATATTGTTTTTGAGTTATCCATTTGATTAATCTCAGATCTAACAGATATTTATTTGTTCTTTGAATTAAATCTGCAAGTGGATCTTGAGTACCAAGACATTTGTATGCTTTGGTTTTTTCCATATATTCATTTGATTTTTTATTGTATTCATCAAGTCTGCCCAAGTGGAATACTTTGGATTTATCAGATTTACGAAGAACTACATTGGCCAATTTAAACTTGTATTTCAATCTTTTAACTAATCGACCGTAGTTTTTTCTTTTGCTTTTCTTCATCATCGTAACTGTACCATTGTTCATATGTAATTGACTTGGTTGACTCAGAAGATTATCAGCTGTCGTTGAAACGGAATTATTATTGTTGTTGAAAGTAGTTTGTTTTTTTTTCATTTGAAGAAGACGAATCGTGTAATTTAAGAAGCATTTTATCTAATGCGGCAATGAATTGTTCGACTGGACGACCTGGGCTTACTTTTTTATCGTAGAATTGTTTTTCTATTTTTCTTTTAAGAGTAGCCAATTCTGTAGTACGTCGTCGAGATGCCGTTTTTGGATCATTGTAGATGAACCGAGGACCTAATTTAAGTAGTTGATGATATTCCTCGGTTAATTGTATGTTTGCCTCATTGATTATGGCTGGGTGTAAATCAATTAGAAAACAGATCAATCTACCTCTTAACGAAGAAGACAAATCAATCTGCTATTCTCAACTCTTGCTTTTCAGCAATCGATGAAAGTCGAATAAATAGGTTATTTGTGCTTGAATTTAAAACAAAAATGTAGAATTTTATTTTGCGGACGCGTTTCATGTTTATTTATTATTGAGATATTGAAACACTCTTCAGGGCTCTACATTTTAAATTAGCACAATAAAAATAGGAAAACAAATACGATAAATATAATTAAGATTGAAATATAATAGAAAACGAAAAATTGAAAATGAAAACTAAGAAACAAATTTAAAAAACGAAATACTAAAATTACTAAAAATAGGCGATGTTATTCCATCGTTCGAACTCTCTTTCTGAGTCGAGCAGATTGGTTGAGTTTGTAATCGCATTTGCTCAATATGTTTATAAGGGAATTTACGCCGTTGGGCTGTTGCCAATGGTGATTCTAACTCCTAGACAGGGTTGAACAAATTGTATCTGTTTCTAGAGCGACGTTGATCAATGTGCCCATGGACGCGTTATCCAGTTTTGTAGTCACGGTGACAATTTTAAACATCAATGTGGGCTTGGATACTTTGTCCAATTTTGGAGCCATGGTGATCGATGGATATGTTGTCGGATATTGGACTGCTCAATAATCTTTTTGGCCGTAAATGAATGTTTCTCTTCCGTTTACTATATTTAATATATCTTCTCTTTTCTCTTTTCTGTCTTTACTTATTCCGTATGTATGTTTAGTAGGTTTTCGTTCTTTTGTCTTTACTGATATCGTATCGATGATTATGATTTAACTAATATCGTATCGATTTTTATGATCTAACTAATTTCCAATATTAAACCATATAGCTCATAATTGAACTAAATTTATATGCGGCAGTTTTATAATTTAACCTAATTCAATAATAACTTTATATTAAAATTAAAATTTTTATCTAATTCATTAATAACTTTATATTAAAATTACGACTCCAACTTAATTTAATAGTAACTTTATATTAAAATTATGATTTAATCTAATCCAATAACAACGTAATATTAAAAATTTATAGTAAAATTTATAATAATACTAATTTGAATCAATCTCATCTTCGAGGTGAAATTGTTAAAATTGAATTATTAAAATTGGATTGAATAGATTGAATAGTAATAGTACATTTGTGCTGATTGATTTAAAGTTTTGAATTGAATAAATTCCATACTGATTTCCTCATTATCCAATTTAGTTAAATTTGATAGATTCAATAGTGATCAATAAATAAGTTAAATTCAATTTAGTATTGTTCTGATAGTAAATTTAAATTCGACTATCAGTATTGAGTTCAATCTAATTTAATACTGTTCTGTAGTAAAATTAGTTTCGACTATTAGTATTGAGAATGAAAGTAGATTTAAGTTCGACTATTAGTATTGAGAATGAAAGTAGATTTAAGTTCGACTATTAGTATTGAGAATAAAAGTAGATTTAAGTATAATATCTCGACTTGATTTTTGCGGTTATATTTCAGAATTAATTTAGCTTTTGCGGTTATATTTGAGTATTTAATAAATATATTTAAGTATTTAATAAATATATTTAAGTTCAATTTGAGTATTTAATAAATATACTTAAGCTCAATCGTATGGAAAATTCAGTATTTTTGATCAATTTTTAGACTTTGTATGTATTAACCGTTTTTGTAGATTATCGACATTTCTTGTACCAAGTACATACATATCGAACTTGAAACTTGAATTCAACTGAAACTTCAAGTTTCAAGTTTCAACCTTCAACTTTCAAGTTTCAAGTTTCAAGTTTCAAGTTTGAACTTTCAACCTTCAACTTTCAACTTTCAACTTTCAAGTTTCAAGTTTCAACGTATGCCGATATATGTGTGAGTCACCATTCTTCAGAATGCTATTGGTTTAAAAGTTGAAAATCCAAAATTTCAATTTTCCATTTTCAATTGAATTCAAGTTTCAAGTTGGAGATATATGGCTCCGCATGGCACCAATGGAAGGAAAATTCAGTTTTTTACCCACATTTGTCACTTCAGTTCTCGTAACTATATAACACCAGATGTCTGGAATTTGCTCAAGGGGGAAACGGCAGACTTGAAGTAGAAAAGTACATCAAAGTACTTTACTTGAAGTAAGCTTAAAGTAACTCAAAGTAGCTCAAAGTAGTCCAAAGTAGCTTGAAGTAATTGCAAGTAACTTTAAGTGAATTTGAAGTTGAAAAGTACTTCAAAGTACTCTACTTGAAGTAAGCTTAAAGTAGCGCAAAGTAGTCTAAAGTAGCCTAAAGTAGCACAAAGTAGCGCAAAGTACTTGAAGTACAAAAGTCTGCCGTTTCCCCCTTGAATTTACTACTAAAACACGTCTTGGCAAGACGTTGTCATATTCATAGTCTCGACGTACGTTATGAAAATTTATCTCAGACTAACCACGGCGAAGGGTCTGGGTGCCGCGAAGGGTTGGAAACAACGTCTACACACATACATAACATCTCAAGTGTGGGTGCCTCGAAAGGGTGGAATGGCCTCTATACGTAACAGTAGTTTCGAACTAGAAACTTGAAACTTGAAACTTGAAACTTGAAGGTTCAAGTTTCAGTTGAATTCAACTTTCAAGTTCGACGCTACTGACTGAGACTGTATGAGTCTCACTGAGACTGTGTGAGTCTCACTGAGACTGTGTGAGTCTCACTTGGACTGTGTGTCTTACTTTCATATCCACTGGATCCGAAGTATGTTCCCGCAAGCTTTTAGCGTTTCCGCTGATCTTGCCGCTGGTATAAGTATGGTTCCGTTGTTCTTCCGCTAAGGTTCTGTCGGGAACCCCTACGGATCTTGTTTGTTTCCGGTAAAGGATACGGCTCGGTTTGAACCGATTCCGGGAACGGTGAAATCCGGCCGGAATACTGCTTCCATGTTCCGGTGCGACTTCCGGTCGGATCCTGTCGGAAAGACCCCGGAATACACCGGAAAACAAGCCGTTTCTTACCTTTTCCTCCGGGTTCCAGAGGCCGGAATCTTCGACCTGGGTTAGAATGTATTCTCATCTATCAATGACAACCAACCAGTCCTGATATCAAAAATAAAAAAATGTAGGTACAAAACACAATAAATTAATTTCTTTTTGTTTTTAACTCCAGAGGTGTTATAATGATGTCAAATTACAATGCAATTATAACTAATTTTCTTTTCTGTTTTAAATAAATTCAAAACAAAATAACTTACTTATAACTTCTTTTCATTTAGATTGTTCACAAAAACTATTCGACGAAATTAAAATTAAATTAAAAACTAAAATAAAATGAGATGAGACGAGATGAGAATTAGCGATTGAGTAGAGTTGAAAAACTAATTATTATTCCGGACGGAATATTAAAAGTTAGAATTTGTTTTTAACGTAAAAAAATGCAAAACAAAAAAAAAGAGCCACTTATTATTACTAGAAACGGCGAAACAGTGTAGAACTATGAAGGCCTTTTCATGCATACGAGGTCACTGTCGTTGCATTTGTACGTCATATCTTGTGTACATTGCCCTACCAGTCTGGCGTGGTCCACACTATGTGTACCCGTTTCATAACCATGGGGGGCTCTTCCTGGTCGCGCGCGTGACTAGTGAATATTAATTAATAATCATTCAAACTGTTTTATTAAGCGAACATACTTGAAAAAACAAGCATTTACAACTTCTTTTTCGCTGCTGCTATACTATTCATTGTGCTTTTAATATGTGGATGCGTTGGAGGGAGTGAATTTCGTAAAATACCAAGTGCTTTTTCTAGAAGTGGAAGTGCTTTCGAGTATTCACCCATGGTGTAATACGTAGTAGCGATGTTGTTGTAGGAAGTAGCCAAATCGGGATGATTCGCAGGCAGAGATATTTCATAGATTTTGAGTGATTTTTCGTAAAATTCAAGTGCTTTAGAGTATTCACCCATGATGTCATACACTAGACCGATGTTGTTGTAGGAAGTAGCCAAATCGGGATGATTCGCAGGCAGAGATATTTCATAGATTTTGAGTGATTTTTCGTAAAATTCAAGTGCTTTTGAGTATTCACCCATGCTGTCATACACTTGACCGATGTTACCATAAGTAGGAGCCAATGAAGCATCATCTTCTGAAAGAGTTTTCCGGTAGATTTCGAGTGATTTCTCGTAGAATTTAACTGCTTCTGGGTATTTTCCTTGCTGGCGTTTCAACCATCCAAGCTGGTGATAGATATGTGCCCTATCGCTATCAGTAGAGGCATTCTCGAGTAATTCGTTGTAGAGCTCTTCAGCTTGATCAAAATCACCCACTGTGAGCATCGATTGACCCATTCGATGCCATCCTCTACCACGAATCTCCTGTTTGATGCTATTGGTAAGAGTAGAAAGTTGTGGATCATTCTCATCGGTAATAGTCAAGTGTACTTCCCAAAGTCGACTATTGTTAGGCTTCCGTTTAATTTCAACGACACGAGAAACAGTGTGCATTGTAAAGAGTATTTCTTGTTCTGACGGAATAGCACTGTGTTCATCAATCATAGCAAATGGAGTATTCGAAGTTGATATTTTACTTTGATCAATAGTCATAATAAAAATAACGCCAACAATGTCTTGGTTCTTTTCCATAGTACGTTCAACAAATTCAATGCCCACTTTTGGGTCCATACTTGTTGATAGGAAATTATTGAACGATAGTAGACCACCTTTTGAATCTAGTAGATTCTGAAAATCTTCTTTGCTCATTCCCTGACCACAATAAACGGTAAATGATTTCTTAAATTTAGCCGATTGTTCCTGATGCAGTTGTTCCAGTTGAAGATGTAAACTTCGAATAAAAAAGCCTAATTTGGACATCGCTTCCATATCAAGCGATCGTAACCCCCAATTAAGCATACCATAGAGAAACATTTCACATGTATACCACCATACTGGTGATTTCTGGTGGTATTTACGTTTTAAGTCATTTATTTCTGTGTCAGGAATTTCTTTTTTTTTGCAATAAATTTCTAAAGCCTTAATAGATTTGGCATCATCATCATTGATTTCTAATATTATATCCTTGAAAATTACCGAGTACATATAAGTGGGCGGTAATTGGTTAAGATTTTGCACGTTCGATGCTGCATCTGTCGTGCATCGCTTCGGCATGAAGCTCATCGGAATTGAATCATGATCGCATTCATGGACGACCTTTTTGAGTGATTCACAAATAGGTTTGATTGAGTTGAATACACCTCTAATCTTTGGCCAATCTTTCGCCCATGCTTCATGCCGTTCCTTGTTACCACAAAAGATGTAAATGGCATCCACTTTTGGCATACCGTGAATGTCATTTACGAGGCTTTACCCTAAAGCACCAGATGAAATGACGAAAGCTTTTCCCTCGTCTATTTCATTGAGGAACTCGATACATTCTTCGAGTGTTCTGCATACATTCACTTCACTTACCACTACGCGCAATTGTGCCAGCGTATTCCGGCAGTCTTCGGGGTTTTCATCGATGTTACCATCGACCCAAATGACTAGATAGTTCTGAGTCATACGACGCCTTGATGGCATAGCATCCGATGGTGCTGTTCTATCTGAAGCAGTAGACTTGGATTTTTGCCCACCCATATTGAGTACGTATTGTTGCTTGAGTAAAGTCGAGAATTGTGAACGAATTTGTGTTATTTATACAGAAATTACTGTTTCTATTTATATAGTCGGTACCTTTTCTTTTTTTTTCTCTATTTTTTGGCGACATATAATCTGATTGCTTTATTTTTGTCTCGTTGTCACAACAAGAAACTCCACCTGGCTTCCCAATGGAGAAATACAGTAGTTAGTAGACAAAGGAACGAACGAAAAATTCCAAAGTCGCCATTTCATACATTGCCATTCTTTCCAACTTTTGTTTGTTTTTCATCTAGACGAAAACTCAAATGACATTATATTTGATGCCTCGTCTACCTCACTGTTTATTTTTCTCTTTTTGGTAAGAACGAACAAAAATCTAAGATGTTATTCACTCATGTCGCTCAAACCGATCGAAAACCATCGGTTAACCGCGGTTCATTTTTATAAAAGTCGGTTAACTGCGGTTATGCAAGCCACTTTAGTGACTTTACAGTGTAAAAACCCACGGTTAACCGGATAAACAGTCGGTTCGCCCTCAATTAACCGGTTATTTATCCGGTTAACCGTCGGTTTTTACACTGTAAAGTCTCTAAAATGGCTTACATAACCGCGGTTAACCGATTTTTATAAAAATGAACCGCTGTTAACCGATGGTTTTCAATCGGTTTGTGTGGCATGGGCAATTACTATTTTTAAATTATGAATGTGAATTATTCTTGTTGAAACGAACGAAGGCAACACGTTACCAATTATGTTTCTTATCATTTTGTTTATCAGTTCAATCTTAAATTTACAATGTGAAGAGAAACTATCCAAAAACAAATTCATGTAGAAAGTTCCTTTTAGAGGTTCTTCAAACTTTGGCGCACTTTTTTCTCAAAAAACGAATCTATGTATTAAAATATCAATGGAAGTAAAAAAATTACAGATCTTTTTTTATTTAGACTAGTTCAATCTTGACGGTGCATAAAATTAGAAAAAAAACTCCTTTTGATCTATGTCAAAAAGGTACATTCGAACTGTTTTTCATTATATTCAAAAGTCACAATATCAACTAGCGTTTTCTAATTAATTACATATAAAGATTACCAACATCTTTTCTATGCGAGACATGACGAACAATAATGAATTTTATTAGTCCACAATCTTATTAAAAAATTAAACCACTCGAGAAGTTCTATGTTGAAGACATTTTTCGGCGAAAGGAAAAAATGTATTGACAAATCAAATTTATGATTATGTTGCTAAACATATATAACATTTCAATGCTAAGCGTCAAAAAAGGAACCTTTCGAAGCCTTAAGTTTGAATTTAATCATTCAATATGCCTGTAATAACTTGATATTTCAAATTTGACTCCAATTAAATGATCAGAGAACGATTTATGGACTTCATTTCAATATGATGTATTGTCGGTTTGATTTTTGAAATTGTATCTGATTCATGCTTCGAATTGAATCACTGATGTATACATCTAATCCTTCTAAAGTATTCAACTCAGGTAAAAAAAATCATTATTCTCCATAATTTTTTATTTAGTTAAATTAAATCATCAATATATGACACATTTATTTTTATTAAGGTTTGAAAAAATCTATTGATCTAGTAACATTAGCAAGAGCTCATTCTTATGAATATAATTTTTACAGACTATTTCTTTGAGTTTACTCTCATAAGAAAAGAAAGAGTTTTTCAACATTCGAAAATAAAATAAATATTTTGCTAATGAAAGTAATTGGCTACTTTAAAGTTTTTTTCTAGAATTCAAAATAATACACCGACTAATACTCAAATAAATTATCTAAATATTTTGCTTTATGTTAATCTGCGTATTGAGAACAGAAATGTAACAGAAAAAAGGCAGTACAGTCTGGTATACCTATTTTAAATAACATAGAAGTTCAACCAAGCAAAAGAGCTAACTTTAATTCTCTTTTGTTGAATAATTTCCGAAAAATACCATGCAATAAAAGTTTCCAAACTACTTGGAAGGTGTCTAATAAACATAAATACTATCATCACCTTGTATAAATATTTATTCGGATACAAGCCCAGAGCAATAGTTAGAATATGAATTCTTTAAATATAGGTGATTTATAGAATGTTCATGTTTAATTCATAGCAATACCATAAAATTTTATTCTATCTAATTTTGAAGTATTTTCATATGGGTGATCTCGTTCACGTTTGATTTTTATATTTCATATATAAGATAAATTACTTTTGTGCAGCATGATTCACTTATTTTTGTTCGTTTTCTTCAATTTCCTAAAGCTTTCTAAAAGTGATTACATGCAAGTTTTGCATACTTATATTTTACTCAGATCAAAATTTGTTCTGAGTTGGAGAAAGAAATAAAATTTTACTGTTGAAATTTTCTATGATGAATGGGCGAAAAATGGATGATTCGATAGAAAAATTGAATAAAGCTAGAAATAATACAATGTTGAAACTTCGAACTTGGTAACTGTAGCTCAACTCACAACTAATACAAAAAACAACACAAAGAGAGATCGAGAACTACCAAGTGACGTGCTAGTCTGAAGAAGTAAAATATGACAATCAGTGTGAGTGATAATATTAAAAGAGTGATGAAAACAAATTCATCGTTTCTTTCAGTTTGTCTTTTCATTGATCATAGATATCAACAAGTTGTTCAATAATTTGTTTTGTGAATAAATTTTTTTTGATTTAAAATTTCTTCGTCGTTTCTCTCGAATCAATTCCGTTGAATGAAAAAAGCAAGACATTTCATTCCTATGCAACACATATATACACACATCATGCAGATTCACACCTAGATGCATGACATGTATGATGAGTTTAATAAGAATTTTAGGTCGCTTATCGTGAACATCAAGATAATATATGGCTGAGATTCCAGGGCGAACAGATTTGAAGCCTTCTTTTTCGTAGGGGTATCTATCAAACACTAGAAAACTAATTGGATTATCTATATATCAAAGTTTAATCAAAAGAAAGTTATAGAAAATGGCATCGATTATTCGAATAGGTAGGATTATGTTGTTCATAAGTAATAATAAATAACAAAAATATTTATCTTGTAGCTTTTTGTTGTTGATACGAATGTCTCTGGCACTAAACTAGCGTCTAATATTGAAGAGGATGCGTATTCATCGATGTCTTAAGATAGAAAAGTAGAAACGTGGAGAAAAATCAACAAATACGTACAAAGTCCTATTTACTTTATTATTTTGTGAGGCATTCGCAAGCTGTTGGACTCCATAGTTGTCGATGAATCAAAGAAAATTATGAATAAATGCAAATCACCATATATTTTTGTAACATATCAGCAACCTATTTCGCTCAAAGGAGAAAAAAAGATCATTCCTAGCCATTCGAGTATCAGGGAATGCTAGCATGAGTTCTCCTCTTGCTATTTTAACTTATTTCTATTGAATCGTTTTTTGAAAAGATTCTTCATTTGATTCTTAACAAACGAATCCAATCCAATAAAATACAAAAAATTCATTCTAGCAGTATACATCTCATAGTACATGCGATTCATCGGATTAAGAAAAATATTCATATAGTATTCTCTACGAGTAATTAATCTGCCTGAAAAAAAAAGTTTCGTTATTAACTAGAAAAATACCTGCATATCTGTACTAAATCGGATTATGCTAGTTCAGCGTTTTCATTATTGGAAAGTTTTTGTTTTCTCAATCATCACTAACTCTTTCTGTGCTGTTTACTATAAAAGCCTTATGTCTGCTTGACCAAATTCCAATATCGACTTTTCTATCGTTGCTTTACAGATAAAAAGACTTTTGTCGAAATCAATTTGTATCGCTATTTCATCTTATTCTCAATTCTTTAGAAAATTCGACTCGTGTTTCGCATCGCATTTTTATTGGGGTAAAACTCGAATACCATCTAGTATGAATTTGTTTTCATAGTAGCAGATCTATCAGACTATCGCTATAGGGCAAATATGAATTGGGATCAAATACTTGTAAATAATTATGAAAATGGAGAGTTCAACGGAACAAGGATATGTGATACATAGAACATGCGCTTCAATAATGCTCATTATTGAAATTATCGAAGAAAATATCTCAATCAGTAAAATGATCTCTAATTGCTTCTAGATCCAAAAACCCAATGAGAAAACTCATAAATCTTACTAACATATGTAATCTTCATATGATAATCAGTTCGTATCAACTAACACTAGTCAATGAAACAAGTACGAGTAATCGAACTTGAGATTCACATTATTCATGAACACATATATATCTAGAATAATTAATTAACCCTATAATTAGATTTAACTTGAAATAAATCTCAATTGAGAAATGGGAAGCTAAACCGTTACAATAGATTCTTTAATTATTGCAGAAATTATTATGTTTATTTCAATTTACTTAGGCGTTGTGAATTTCCGTACATTAATAATTAGCACGGTTGTTTTATTACAGTTATATAATATATTATCCATCAATGAATACGATTCCTATTGTAATGCCTAAAAATTGAAAATTACTTGTTTGAAAACACACGTATCTTGTAACCGAACAGGAAATGTGATATTCACATAAAATTATTATAGAAGAACAAACCAATCTATAAAGTCTTGGTTTATCAAAGTTTCAATAGAAGATCTTTAATAACATTTAATGATTCCAGCTTCATTTTTGCAACTTTCGACGATAAATTTCTACATATAATTTTCATGAAACAACTCATATTTTTTATTTTTTATCCATTTACTGATTTCTTCTCATTATGATATCTCGGTGTCTGGAAGCAAATCGTCACAAACGGGGTATATATCAACGAGTATATTCTTGAATCAATATATTCCACTTACTAGGTTTTATCTTATTTTGTTATGTTACAAGTGTTACTCTGATAGGTCAATGTTATATCATCAACCTGTACAATAGTAAAACTAAAGCACATCTAATGAAGAAGTGCTCTAGGTTTTTGTTTCCAAGATAATTGACTATTACTAATACAACTAGAAGTTTTATAACGCGAAATTTAACATATACAAAAATTCATGCAAATTCAACGTGACTTTCCCGAAAATGCATCATCAATTGGAGGATATTTTCTATTGACACTTAACTGGTATCCATAGGGGTTCATTTTGTCTACTTAATTGAATTCTAAATGAACTTCCATATTGACCATTTGTATGATTATTATTATTCCTGATGTAGAGATGATCTTGATTTTTTTTCCTTTCCTTTTAGTTTTATCATTAGTTTTTTTCGAATTGTTTTATTAAATCTGGACAATGTAGATTACTTTTATCTTTTATAGCTTCGAATTGAAGTTCAAGTTTCACGATTCATCGCTACGTGAACAAGATTCAATAGAACGTTTTTACTAGAAGGCGTAACCGATTCTTATCTTTAGTCATTTCTTTCTTATTCCTACTATCTAAAATCAAAATTATGGCAACTTCCTCCGTTATTCATTAAGCTTTCTCTACCCATTTCATTTATCAACTCACGAGCATTGCCGTCATCTTTAAAAATCCTACTGAACCTCAGAAACCATTGCTAATCTATGAATCGGGCGACCTTCGTTGATTGAAAGTGTAAAGACAAGCGGGCTGTGGTGTTCTGACTCCCAACGAATAAATTGCTTTTTACAACTTACGAAGAGGTACATGATCTTTACTGATTCGTGATCACATATATGTTGCGATGATGAAATCGTGCAGATTGTTGGAAACAGTGATCTGCCAGAGCAACACTTTTTAATGAATGAAAAATGTTTCGTGATTCTCCTTTTCTCAGTAACAGGTGATATTCCATTTTACCATATATTTCTTTCAGATAGGCTCGATTAGAGTTGTTGCTAGTATAGCAAAACACACGATGCTCCGTTAAACAACATTTAAATGCTCCAAATTTAGAGATAAAACTAAAAAATATGACATCATTTTACTATTGGCGACAGTAAATGTTATTTTAAATTTTATGAAAAACCATCAGTACCAGCTTGCAAAAAATAAGCACATTCGCTTTTATTTTTCTTGAGGTTAATGAATATTGAGAGAGCTACCCAATGAAAAGTCTTATTATCTATTAATATTGCAGTTTAAATTTAGAAAGGTGTTGCTCTGGCAGGTCGGTGTTGCTATTAACCCGCGTGATTTCGTCATCGCAACATATGTGATCAGTAAATTTTTTTATTTTTTTTCAAAAAAGACAAAATTCTAAATTTTTATTCTAACAAATAAAATAAATTTGTTTATTATGTCCATCACGATCACGCAGATATAATTGATGTAGTAAAGGAATGTTTTTTGAAAATGAAGATTCAAATAATATTCGATAAATATATTCAGGTGATCGATGGTTTTTCGAATCATTAAACCGCCCAAAAAGTACAACTAGTACATATTCGAATTGAATTCCATAATATAATAAAATAAACGCAAGACCACGTTCTAACTGAAGAAGCTTTTGGAACAATTTAAATGATGATTTTTTTCTTTCAATATTGATTAGACTTGAAGAAATTTTCTTTTTTTCGCAAAGTGAAAGATCGTCATTATGAAAAGACAGAAATGAGGTAGTAACTTCAGCAATGATTACCGTATTTGCTTGAAATGGTTTCACAAAGCTATATGATGATAGTGCAGAAATAGCTTGTAAATTTGGAGATGCAATAAGTGTACGTTCTTTTGATGAATGTTCAAAACTAAAACCTAAAATATCGAATTCCATTTGTTCTGGTTGAGTAGAAATTAATATGTCTTGATGAATCTTTTTCCATAAATGTTCATAATTATGTTTTAAATATTTTTCAAAACGATTAAATAGATTTTCAGTATATGTAGAGTAATTTTTACTAAACATTCGATAAGTTGGCGTGTAAGGAACATCAAGATTATGATCAGCGCGAAGTCGATTTAATATTAATTGTGTTGCATTTGTTTCATAAATGTTATCGATTTTTTGAGAAAGCTGATCAATTTTTTTATTAAGTCTTTTATCCACATGTTCGATTTTTTGCTCAAGACCTTTAATTTGTGTGTGAAATTGATCAAATCTTTTAATAAATTCACCTTTTAATTCATCCACAAACAGTTTCATTTGATGAATCCCAAGATTGTCGTTGTATAGCTGTTCAGCATTATCTCGTTGTTTTTCAACAACATTTGAAGAACTTTCTTGAGATTTAATATCATCATATGATACTTCATTTGTTAATTGATCAACTGTAGGACAATCGCTATTAGATGACTGTGATTTATCATAAGCAAATTCTGATGAATGAGTCGATAATATTAGTGGTTCAATAGGTTTCTTTTCTGTAGATGTTGCAATTGTATTAAATTTTGTTTCGAAAGGACTACGTCGAATTTGACGTGCACATTTATCATTAGTATTTCTTTCTTTTTTTGTAATGGCTTTGGTGTATTATTACTTGTTGTTAAGGACAATGATTGTTGAGTATAATCAGCAAATGGTTCAGTATGAATTGATGAATTATTCGACTGCAAAACAATATCATCAATTTGTGTATCTGACTTGACCTTTGTAATATCTAACGACGAAGATTGCTTGTCAGTTAAATAACTGATTGATTTTGATGCTTTTGTTTCCTTTGACATTGATTCGTTTATTATCAGAGATTGAAAATCGAATATTGATCAGTTGTGATATGGATATCTTATACTTATACTCTCTTGGTAAGTTTGTAATAAGCAATTTTAGTAGTTGAGATATTGAGAGCGAAAGTATTTTTGTCTCTACTCTTTTCATACAGAAAGCGCTTCTTCACAAAGGACGTGCAATTTCCATAGAAATGACTAGATTGCTAAAGACGGCGTTCACACGGTCAACGAATGGAAGCATGCAATCGTGTCGATGAATTTCGACGCGTATTCAATCATATAATACAAATGTGGTAGTGTGATTAGAACAAAAGATACTCAAAATGAGAATTGGATACATTTGATGATTGAGAATACGTATCAACTTGTTATTGAATGTAGGATACTAGCTTGGTTGTTTATAAAATGACTCTTGCGAATAGTTAGCCAGGATATTGATATTAAGAAGAATATTTGTCAAATTTCTCCTTCAAGCTCGATTTAATCAATTATTTGACAACAAGAGTATTTGCTAATTCATCAACAATAATGTCATAGACTTATTAAATATGTGCACGTTGTGGAGTCGTAGTAACCCATATGCAAGATTTGTCTATTATTCGTTGGTTTATCATTATCGTCTAATGTCGTGTGACTTTCACTATATCTTAGAATCCTATTAAAATACACTAAATGATAAAGACTGAAAAGAGGTTAAACAGTTGTAGTTCACACTGCCCATGGAAAAATATTCCTCATAATGAACGTGAAAGAACGCGTTTTCGAAAAAATTGAACGTATTTTATCGACTAAAAACGCGTTCTAAGAACAAATTAACGCGTTCAGACGCGTTTC